ATGACAGGTGAAGGACACAGAACCATTAGTCCCAATTGAAGTCCTACACCGAATATTTGTGCCTAACCCACCCTGTCAACTTTCCCTGTGGGAGGAAACCGGAGTACCCGGGGAAAACCCACGACCTTCGGCAGAGCGTTGACTTTTTACTCTTTTCACATGAGGACTGGGTTCGAGTCGCATTGAGAAAGTTCTCACTGAGACTCGAACCTGCGGCCTTAGAGGTGAAAGGCAAGTGCTCTAACCACTTGGCCACCGAAGCTCCCAAATCCGGGAGCACAAAATAAAACTTCTGCACATATTCTGTTATCCAAGTTACCAAAATATCTCACCTCACCCAGATTTTCAAAATATTCATTTGGTATGACGCTGTCCTCCCTCCCAATTTGTTGCATTCCCATTATAAACAACTGAAGAGGTGTCTTGTTTGCAGCTGTGCGCAATTTATGATTCATCCATGAATCACAGAATCTACGCAACGCATCATTAATAACCGGTTTGTACAATTCATGAAGACAAAACAGATGGTCTTCATTATCAGGATCAAGAATTCCTGTTGATTCCATATGCATAAAATGGTCGTAGAAAACGGACAGAACACTCTGATAGACATCACGCCAAAGCCGTTCTATGCGGCAATTATGAACGCTCCGCCCTGTTAGATAACTGCCTCGTCCAGGACCCCTGCTTTCATGGGAAAGCATGAAACGTGCAACGTCTCGGTTTTCAACACCCATGTCACCTCGCACACGGGAAGGCAAACCCCAAACGACAACGGCCTTCTTAAAAAGGTCCAGTACTGCTGCTGAAGTATTGTTGGTGTTACACGCTAGATAGACGACCACACGACTGAAACCATCGATACAACCGTGAACGACAAATCGCCACCTTAAATCAACAAAACAACAGTAAATAAAATATTGTTTACTAGTGCGTGATTATTATACAATTTAGAAACTTCGAACCTTATAAGTTTATGATTTCCGTCCATGTGCCATAGAGCGAGAGGCGACCGGACATTGTACACACGTCTTTGTATACACGAATCCATTGCGCGTAATCTCCTTCCTACGGGATCAACTCGCTTTAGTGAGTCTCGGAGTCTTCTTCTTTGCACTCGAATACCATGTGAAATTAGCTCCCCTTTAATAATTTTGGTGCCTGCAAGAAAAATTGCGGTGTCGGTAATTATTACTTGGTGGTTTTCAGTATTATTATAATACAATACAGTACTGTATTATAGTTCACAAAAGGTGTAACGATTTAATTTGAATTTTAAGTAAAAATGTTGGAAAATCGTAAACAACGTCAAGTAAAGTTATATTAACACAATTTGTTAAAAATAATTTACAATGTCATTTCAAGGGTATAATTTTTAGTAGCTAACCGCTTGAAGATTAGGGTATTTTCTCCATTATAAAGTATTTACCTGATCGTGGAAAGTGTGCAACTATGTGTTGCACATGAACATCTAAGGAGTCGTCGTCAATATCGCTGTAACGATATACATTCGTCATATTGTATTCAACAAATCTATTCTCAACTGTGCGTAAGCTAACACCCAGCATTTTGGCCATCTCTCTTTGGGTAAATCCATTTCCTAATAAGTAATAAACGCAGGGTCAGAGTGGCATAGAGATTATTTCACCTAATATATGTACAACTAAAAAAAAGAAGATAACTGAAAAAGACAAATTTAATATTAACCTACACAATAATCAATGGACAATTAACATTCTATATTTTGGATAAACTGCTATTTGTAACATTTGACTAATATATGTATAGTTCAAGGGGAGGAGGAGGGGCTAATTTTTTAAAAATTCATCAGCTTTTTAATTAGACTAGTTGCAAAAAATTGTGTACAATAGCACTTTTAATTATATAACAGCTTCTCCCGCCTTCCTCAAAAAAATGTTGATTGTATTATTACAGCAATATAAAATCAGGAATGTAGAGAAATAAAAAATAAAATTGATTCAAAGAAAGTCAACTTAAATTTACTTAATCATAGTGCATGATATTTTCTTTTACATATTAGACAGCGAGCAAAAAGTTAAAAGACATATTATTCAATTCGCTCTCTTCATAATATTTTGGGGGGGAGCCTAATGCCCCTCCTATATAGCCCCCTGTTCCACAACCCATGTGATATGTCTATATATATATATATATATATATATATATATATATATATATATATATATATATATATATATATATATATATATATATTGTACAATCTACAGACATGCATGTTTCGGCGTACAATGCCTCATCAGTGCCGCTTGGTACATGTCTTCATACGTGATGACATCCGTATATAACCACATGAAGTGCTCTCACCAGGCGCATGTGGTTCAACACGGTGGCATCAACGCATCCAGACATGCGCAGAGCGTCATGGGGCAAGAGTGCTCTAACGACCATAAGGGAAGTGAGCTTTGCAGTATATATATATATATATATATATATATATATATATATATATATATATATATATATATATATATATATATATATATATAAGCGTTATAAATACTTATTAAAACATACAGTTACAACATTACTTTGAAAAAAGTGTAGTTGTTCCTCTGCAATGAAAAACTTTGGTCTTCCTCTTCTGCCAGTTATCTCTTGTGGTGTTTGATAAGAGCAATAGTCATCATTCCTTGCTGTGTCTCGCCTTATAATATTTTTCGCCTGATTTAATAGATCAATGATGTTTAGATTTACACCATCACATCTCATTGCTTGTTCCGCTAGCACCTCCAGACGCCTTAGACATAACTCACGATTTTCATGATAATTTGCTGTCAGGATACAATCAATTTCTTCAACAGTGTCTCTCAACAGTCTAATGAACGCCTCGGTCATGTTCACGAAATCATCTATATACTACAAAAACAACATTTGTGCCCTCTGAAAAATTTACTTAAGTTCAATGACTATTAAAAATACCTTCATGCAGTGACATACCTTTTTACTATATGCTATTTGTATTAAGGCTTTTGCATATCTTACTAAAAATAACCCGGTCCGCAATCCGCAATCCGCGTTTCCCCGTAACCGTAAATTGTACCGTGTGGCGTGGCGAATAAATATTGTAAAAACGTTTCGCATACGGGCTACGGGTAAAGTGCTGCTCTTATTATTTACATAATGTCAAGCATTCTGCGTGAACTACATACTAGTATGTTCAAAATATCGATGATATTTAAAATTTATTCAATAATTTTATATACTAAACTCTGTGGAGTGGTAAAAGCTCGATCAGTCGAGCGTGCACTTTATACATAAATTACTTACTGATGGACAATATAACTCAACGAAATTACAATCAAAACTAGTTGTGAACTAAACTCATTAACATGATAATAAATCTTAGGCATTAATATGTAAAAATAACGAAAATATACGTACTTTTCTTCTAATAACTTGGATGTGAATACGTTGCTTTGTTGTTGCAAAAATTCCCGCTTTTTTGCACTGGAAACGTCATGTTCTATTTATGAAATACGTGACCACGTGCGTTAAGCTATTTGACAAAACATGCCATTTGACAAAACATGCCATTTGACAAAACATGCTATTTGACAAAACATGCTTGACAAAACATGCCATTTGACAAAACATGCTATTTGACAAAACATGCATTTGACAAAACATGCTATTTGACAAAACATGCCATTTGACAAAACATGCCATTTGACAAAACATGCCATTTGACAAAACATGCCATTTGACAAAACATGCCATTTGACAAAACATGCTATTTGACAAAACATGCCATTTGACAAAACATGCTATTTCATTCAACAAAGACATATGCGATTGCGCGTTTTGTTATACCATTTGTCTTTAACATATACCATTTAGACACGCGAGGACATACGGTTTGACTTTTACACATTCCATTTCAAGTTTACATATGTCGTTTTAAGTTTACATATGTCGTTTCACGATTACATATGCCGTTTCACGATTACATATGCCGTTTCACGATTACATTATTTTTGGTGGTAACGGCCGCCCATAAAAAAGCAAATTATTTTCATGGAGTATCTGTCAGTTGAAGTCGTCATTTGTCATACAACAACAAATTTTAAATTTGACCAATCAGTGTTCGCTATCCATGACAGTCCGCCATATTTTTGAGATCAGTGAGGATGACCACCACTGAGCTGTATAATAACTGGAGGACCTGCTCCTATACTTCGTTCAGTCAACAAAGTGTCGCCAAAAACATGGCGGATTTTGAGTGAAAATGACGCCATTTCCATGACAACACTTCCGAAATTCTCATGGTAGGTACCACTGACCAGGCTCAATTCTGAGCCCACGGCCGTTTTCACCCCCCCCTGGTTTTTGCAAAAATTTTGCAGATATTATAGTTCTAGTGGTTTTGAATCGGTTTTTAAATTTTTTCGATATAAATTTTCTACCTTTGATTCAGTTGGACAAAGATATGCAAGTCGTACATGTTATTCTCGCCCGTGAAAGACGACAAACAAATTTAAAACCTCAAGAAATGTGGGAAAAGACAAGACTTGAATGTGGATTTATAAACTAGGGTAAGAGACAAATTCTCATTTGAATTTTTTAATATTTAGACTTTACTTTATTTCACATGAAAATGATAAGCATAACGACGAAACAGACACTCTATTTGTTAATAAAAAAACTTCCAATGCAATACACATGGTAAAGTGTAAAATTTTCCACTATTTTACTAATTTTAGCAAGCTGTACGGTTCACAATCGCAAAATATTTGGTTACAAACTACGAAGCTTTGATCGATATTCAGTCACATATACGAGGATTACGACGGTCTTTAAAGTGCAAACTGTCTAGTGTAATAATGTTTAAAAGGTTGACTCCTGAGGTCTCGTTTTATAAACAGACATAAATCTCTTTTCCAGGATGGCCTGTTTTCTTACAAGTTTTCTCAGTGAAATATCACTCTGAATCAGCAATGTATCTTTATAATGCACCTGTCAATGTTAAGCACCAGAGGGGGGGGAGGGGTCGGGCATAGGTGGGGCAATCAAATGCCCTACTGTCGGGCAATAAATATTGGTCAAATGCCCCACCATTTTGCAATAAATTGCAAGAAATACTATGTTAATAAAAGTCATTCGGTTCAAATTGCCCCAACTCAGGGCCAAAGTGCTAATCAAAATCCCCAGGGTGGGGATACAATTGATGATCAAATACCCCACATATGCCTGACCCCCCCCCCCTGGAGGTTAACATTGATAGGTGCATAAGTGCACTCATAGTTCTGATACCCGTGGTTTAAGCTAAGGAGTTAGGTCACATCCTTTTGTTTACCTTGCTCATATATGCTAATTATGTTACTGGTTGATTTTTGTACAACCTACATAATTAGTCTACTCTTGTTTATTGCAGATTTATCTCACAATGACACATTCCTTTCTGGATGGCAAGTTACAGTACCAAGCCACGCATATCTTTGGAAACTGAACATACTGTATTTTAACCCATTGAGTGGCATTGCACCCTACTTTAGTATTTTACTCTGTCTAACGCCAGACGATTTTACTCGTCAAGAGGAGAGCGCTGAACCAATGGGTTAACTGGCCTATCTGCCTATGTGTCTAGTTAACCCATTGAGTGGCATTGCACCCTGATGCACCCTACTTTAGTATTTTACTCTGTCTAACGCCAGACGATTTTACTCGTCAAGGGGAGAGCGCTGGCGCTTGATGGGTTAATACATGCTTCCAGAAATTATGTCACCTTGGCTATATATAGAGTCTCATTTTCACGATTGAGACATTGGACTTTAACTCATGTCACATACATGAAAATGAGGCTCCATAGACAAGGTGAAATACATTCCGGAAGGGTGTATTTGACTTTTTTGAAAAATAATTAGCAGTAAACAATTTAAAAAACAAAAATGTATCATTTTAATTGCTATAAAACTTATTTACACTTCAATAAAGTTATCATAATCATATAATTATTTATGTTGTTATGCATGGTATTATAATTAACTAATTCATTTTGTTGTTCTGCATGTTTTTCTGCATGTTGATGCCTCAGTGCCATCTCTTGTGTACATTAAACATATAATTTCTGCAAAATAAAAGATGACATTATTATCATATGATACATTATACATCTTTAATACATCACAAAAATATCATATACACATATGTTAACCCTTCACAAGTGCCAAGTGGCAATGTGTCTTGATATGCCTTACTGTATTATTTTAATCTACCTAACGCCAGACAATTTTACTAGTCAAGGGTGCAATTACATGATTTGTTTTTACCAAAACCATTGATCCGAGCTTCAAAATTAAATGTCATGTTTCAGTATTCAGCAATGCAATTACGTTCCTAACTAAAATATGTCATGATCATAATTTCTCGCAGGCTGTGTCATGGCCAATTGTACATCACTACTCCCAATGTTAGAAATCATGGGTGGTTTTACTTAGGGGGGGGGGGGTTAAACCCCTCTAATAGAGTGTTCAACCCCATCAAAATTCTGCTTCAACCCTCCCGTTTTGTGTGAAAGGCTTTAACCCAAACACCTAACCCCTGCCAAAGCTCACTGAGTGGTGCTGCTTGCACCCGGCCACCAGAAAGTCTTCTACCCCTCCTTTTAAATAAATGAAAATCTGCCCTTGTTAGAAATGTTGTAGCATTCCAAATTTACTTCATGATTAGTGTATCAGTGACTCACTTAAATTCCGGCAGCTTGTGGGCAACATTTTTGTTGCCAACAAGCTGTGTAAAACTATATAGTAGTTTTACATAGTTCTAAACAGACAATGGTGCAAAATGATATCTATTTTTAATACTCCTCCCTTGATGAGTAAAACATCTGGATTTAATCTCACAGATTGAGTAAAATAAGAAGGTAGCCAGGGTTCATTGCAGTTTAATATTGGGCTGACTATATATCTCAGGGGCTGTTTATTTGCCGATAGTGTAATTAACCCACTGTGTGACAGCAGGGTCTAGGAGCAGTCTCATTTAGTCTCAATCCCCTTAAGATCGTCTGGCATTAGACAGAATAAAATAATAAAGACAGTCTTTAGGGCTCATCAGGACAGGGCACATGGATTGTCACATGTAGGTGAGCCTCCTCTACGGCTCAACTCTCTCTAGTCTTGTGCTTATCTATATATACTAATTCTGCACTGTGATGGGCAGGTATATAAATTTCACACCATATTTAATAAACGTTTTAAAATATATGAACACCACAATTTTTGGTATAAATTAAAAACTGGCAATAAAACCACAAAGGCCAGTGCTGACACAAAACAACATAATTTCATGTACACAATGTTTGATCATTAACAATACTTTTATGTCCCCTATTGAAATATTTGCTGTATGTATTAGGATAAGTTTTTGACATAACATAATCGAAGGGTCTAGTGACTCTAGAAAGTTATAAAAAAGTTTCGTGAATCTTACCTGAAAGAATTAGTCTTTCTTTGTAGTGAAATGCTGCATCCACAAGCGAAGCAAACCCGCACCCTCGCTCCGCGTTGTAAAACAAGTAATGTTGGAGGAAAATATTAAGATTTTTTAGCTCAAAAACAACAGAAAACTTGAAATATCTTTTAATATTTCTGTCCAAAAACCAAGGGGGTTAAGGACATCGTCGAAAGCTTAGGATCGCGGTTGGTCAGTGGCAATTACCATGAAAATTTCGGAAGTGTTGTCATGGAAATGGCGTAAGATCCGCCATGTTTTTGGCGACACTTTTTGATCCCGAGCAGGTCCTCCAGCAATATAGTATAGCTCAGTGATGACCACCCACTCAACACCGTTGGTCACCCACGCCCGCGATATTTGATGAACTTTAGACTCCGCTAATGCTTTCGTTTCCCCGCGTGTAAATAGCCGGGGGGAATTAGTACCCTCGCACGGCGCTTCGCGCCGCCGGCTCGGGGATTAGATCATTCAGTGTCACAAGAATATCATCATTTAGTGTCAATATGAGAGTAATATCAATGTAATATCATAATTTCAAAACATACATTTTTATAAAACAAAAAAGGTGAATATAATCTTAGCGTCTCGTACTCTCGTCAATCTTTCACTCTTCTGTTGTTTACAACGGAATCATCTCCATAGCGCGAAAGAGCTTGAACAAAAGCTGTTTATCCAGTTTTTGCACGGTCAAAAATTTCTCCCTTGGCTTTATGCACCTATCAATGTGAGGGGGGGGGGGATGCGGGCAACCCAGGGGAATTTTGACATTTTTAAAATTTTGTCGTCAAATGGAATTGCTGTCAAAATTCCCCACTATATTCCTAAGATAACAAGACTTTCAAAACAGTTTTTATATCAGAGCATGCAGAACGTGGAACACTCTACCAATATCTTTAAGGAACTTAACTTTATTGTCTTCGTTTAAACGTTGTCTATTTAATTACTATTTTTTATTAACCTCTAATGTTTATAACCCAGAATTGCCGCACACATACAAGACTGTTTGTGTCAAATGTCACAAAGCCCGTCCTTTGGATTAACTCAGTGACACTCTATGCTGCTAGTGCCCTTTCTTTATATTATGTGATGACTTTTTGTTGTTTTTGTTGTGATGCACTATTTAGTGTTTAACTCTTGTATACAATATTTCTATGTATTTTACAACTGACGCGGGGAACCCGTTATTGGAGCTTCGGCTCTGTGGGTGCGCCCTTCCTGTTTTTGGGTAAATTAAATAAATAAATAAATAAACACACATATGTTTTCCAATGCGAACATACAGTCTATACTGGTTTAAACTTGGTAAAAATTGAGACATTGTGTATAAAATACCTTTTTCGATGAAACTTGATCGTGCTTCTCCGCCATACTTGTTACCAGGCCTTTTAATGTCAAAACCGCGCAAACTTTCAAGATGGCGGATGTCAAAATTTCCCGACTCTGGGAGTTGATGCATAGGTCAAATTCCCCTTCCTGGTGCTTCATAGTGTGGTCAAAGTCCCCTGTGTCGCCCGCACCCCTCCCCCCCCCTCAGGGGGAAAACAATGATAGGTGCATTAAAACGAAGACAGGAACTGCAGCCACATTCTCAAGTTTCGAATTTCGTCAAGCGAAAAGCCTTCCCCAAGCGCTTCTGTCATAATGACAGCAACAACACTGGCAACGTGTTTCGAGGGATTGATACCGCATTAACTATTTTCATGATGAGACACAAACTCCAAAGGTAAACACAAATTATTCGAACTCACACCTTCGGGATTTCGGTTCGCCGCCCCAGCTAGCGCTGTTGATATAACAAGTCACACAAGGTTCAAAGCGGCCTCTTTATGCACGATGTTTACAATGAAACAGTTACAGTATAAGATTGTGTTGTTGCTCTCTCCTCCGCAGAGGCTTTATAATTGGCTATGAAGGCGCGAAGCCTCTGCACGATTCCACACCCAATATGGCGGTAAACCGGGGGGGGGGGGCGTATAATTATCAAACGCAAAATTCAAGTCAAATTCAAAATGACTGAGAAAACTTTTATTTAAATTTATATTTGACATTTGTATTTTTAGAAATGTGTCCAAAACCGCATAAAAGAAAAAAAATGAGTATGTATAGCATACAGAACCATTATTAAATTTATTATCAAGACTGAAAATACAATTCAACTATTTCAACTTCAGCAATATTTATAAACAAACGCGACCTTCAGTCGGTTTCGACCTGATTTATTTGGAGGTTCGTATCTTTGGTTCAATATACGCTATGTAGATGAAAATACCACCGTTCGATTCAGTACAAAAATATCTCCTAGTTTCTATCGATAGTTTTAGTGAAATGTCAACACTATAGCGATTTATGACCTGTGAAAGTCAAGCGGGATTTTGTATATTAATATCAAATCACGCAATGTTTATACTTGATAAAAATATAAACTAGGCATACCTTTCGGCGAACATAACTTCGGCTCCTTGGGACGCATCCTCTTTGTATTACTCTTGTTCGAAAGCGAATTCAAAACACTACTTAAAGTGTTATTTTTGAGCTTGTATCTTGAAAACTTCATCTTTTATTATGGTATTTCTATTCCTGGTCTGATTGTGAACTAATTCCCGAACATCAGCGTGACAGGCGCGTGCGACTGTGCGAGTAAAAATCCGATATTTTGAAAAATTAAAAATAAATATTTCTACTGGCCGTATTCAAAAGAAATTTTCTACACGAAAGCGCTTGAATACAAGGAGTATTTTACTTCTTTGACTGGTGGCGAATTCCGAAGAGTTCAAGAAATATTCAAGTTTTTTCTCGATACGAAATACAGAATGTTTGGCCAAGCGGTGAGTAAAATATACGATTGTTTGCTTTGTGTATTAAATGTTAAAAAATATTACTTTTGACCATCCACAAACATGCAAGCACTAGTCAATGAGGTCAATCAATCATGCATTAAATAATGATTTAATTTTCAAAAAGACGTTTCTTGTTTAGCTTAAAAATCACCTTTTGTTTCGATGTTTACACTTTGTCCCACTTTGTCCCACTTTGCGATGCAAATCGTGCAGAGGCTTCGCGCCTTCCTTCGCCTTTCCCTTTGCCGCCTGCGCTCCTTCGCCCAGCGGCTACGCTCGTGTTTCAAGATCCGCCATGTAAAGTGTAGTGAAATGTATCTCATCGTAATACTCATCCTAAGAAAACTAAAGCCTCTGCGGAGGAGAGAGGTGTTGTTGTGTACAAAAATTTCCAGTGTAGAAATGTACAAACAAAAAACGTAAACAAAGCCTTCGCATGCCCAGAAGGGACTGTAATCTACCTTTAAATTCTTGTTTATATCAGAGATGTCCCATCATAAACCTAACCAAGAATTTTTAACAAAATGTTGTGTATAACACAGTTTCTGAAGGCGTTCGAAAATAATGCTGACGTCAGCACTTTTATTGTTCAAGAAACTGTAACTCAAGAGAAATGAACCCTATTTATTCATAATGTTTGGTGAACACTCGTAATAATCATTTGTCACAAACTTATCATCTACACGAGCAAAATATTGACTTATGAAATTTGTCAAATAAAATTTGCTCGTGTAAACGGGGCTTTAGGCCCATTAAGTCCATTAACTATATAGACATAGGACGGTGGTGTGAAGGAACAGACTAAGTTTAGTTATGCTATATTAAATATATTCTATAGCACAAATATACACCTAGTACTTAGATATTACAATCACCTTCGCTAAAGAACCTCCATTTCAATCCGAATTGAGGCGTCCACTAATGTCGCAAACTGAAAACGAGGCTCCATAACTAAAGTGTCGTATACTTTCCGTAATGGTGTATTATAGTTGAACTTTAGAATAGAAATTTTTAGAACATTACCAAAACGTTTCTAGACTCAAAATTACTCAAACTATAATAGAACTTTACATTGGAAAACAATGAAAAGGAGGATGTAATACATCAGCTGTTATAAGTCTGTCATTAATATAAGAGTTCCTATCTAACGCAACGATGTCTTGTACATTAATAATGAATTAATTATGAACCAAAAAAATTTGGCACAAAAAAGTTGGATCAGTTTCATCTGTCCAACAGCCCCATTTTTTTGTTCAACTGTGCATTTATTCCATCTTTTGCGAAATCAAAATTTATTTTTGTGAAGTGGAAACACGGCAATGAATTCTTTTTGGGCGCCCATATTTTCATATTGGTGTTGGTTGCAAACTGTGTCACCGAAGATTTTTGTTTTTATGATGAGACTTTCTGTAAGTACCGAAGTGGTTTAACGATTCAATTAAGAAAGACTTGAGGGAACAGTTGGGTTATATTTTTATCGAAATTTGACCGCACGTGTGACCGTACGGGGAAAAATCAAAAGCTCAAATCATGTCTATGAAATGCGAGTATTGTAACAAGATGTTTTCAAAGAAAATAAGTTTGGTGCAACACAAGACAACACACACGGGAGACAAACATGAATGCGATGTTTGCAACAAAAAATTTTCAGATTCGAGCAGTTTAGTCCGACATAAAAGAACACACACAGGAGACAAACCTTATGAATGTGATGTTTGCAACAAAAGATTTTCACGGTCTAGCATCTTGGTGGTTCATAAAAGAACACACACTGGAGACAAACCCTATGAATGTAATGTTTGCAACAAAAGATTTTCACGGTCTAGCATCTTGGTGGTTCATAAAAGAACACACACTGGAGACAAACCTTATGAATGTGATGTTTGCAACAAAAGATTTTTAAACTCTAGCAACTTAACGGTTCATAAAAGAACACACACAGGAGACAAACCTTATGAATGTGATGTTTGCAACAAAAGATTTTCACGGTCTAGCATCTTGGTGGTTCATAAAAGAACACACACTGGAGACAAACCTTATGAATGTGATGTTTGCAACAAAAGATTTTCACATTCGAGCTACTTAACGGTTCATAAAAGAACACACACTGGAGACAAACCTTATGAATGTGATGTTTGCAACAAAATATTTTCACAGTCGAGCCATTTAGTGGTTCATAAAAGAACACACACAGGAGACAAACCTTATGAATGTGATGTTTGCAACAAAAGATTTTCAGATCCGAGTTTTTTAACTCGACATAAAAGAACACACACTGGAGACAAACCTTATGAATGTGATGTTTGCAACAAAAGATTTTCACGGTCTAGCATCTTGGTGGTTCATAAAAGAACACACACTGGAGACAAACCCTATGAATGTGATGTTTGCAACAAAAGATTTTCAGTGTCGAGTACTTTAACTCGACATAAAAGAACACACACTGGAGACAAACCTTATGAATGTGATGTTTGCAACAAAAGGTTTTCAGATCCGAGTACTTTAACTCGACATAAAAGAACACACATTGGAGACAAACCTTATGAATGTGATGTTTGTAACAAGAGATTTCCAGAATCACGCAAGTTAACACGACATAAAATATCAGCACACGAGAGTGAACAGAGTTTTGAGTGTCGTATCTGCGAGAAAACATTCACACAACGAAAAAGTCTCAAACGTCACTGGAGATTACATTCAAGAGATGGATTTTTGTTGTGCAATACTTGTGGCAGAGAAATTAGTCAGACACAAGGAGAAGGACAAGGACATGCTAATGAGATACTGAGTTGTGGTATATTCTACCAATGTGATGTCTGTAAGGAATTGGAAGCAAGAGAAGCAACTGGTATTGGCTATATCTGTTGTGTCTGCGATGCTGAGTTTGAAATTGCCACTGAACTTGAAGATCATATGAGTATGCATGATAATATGCTGCCCCAGGCAAGATAAATTGAAAATATTTTTTGTTACATGTTATTTTTGAAATTTAGCTTGAAATTGATTTGGGATTGTTTGATATTGAAACGGAGATTGATATTTTGGTGGTTGGTTAAATACTGAAAAGGAGATTGATATTTTGGTGATTGGTTAAATACTGAAAATGAGATTGATATTTTGGTGATAATTGATTTGTTGATTCAGGGATGCATTTATAATTCTTGGTTTGCAATTGATGTCATGGCGGCCATGTTGGAAGAAAACTAACAAAAGAATCTCATTACAGTCGTGCCAATAGAAGCATTCCGAAAAATGTTGACCAGTTCATTTCCTATAAACTTCGAGGAGTTCCTCTGAACAATTCCTCAACAATCAGATTGCTCAAAAATAAAATATAAAATTTGATTGGTCAATGAAACAGGAAGTTAGGAACTTTTTAAGGAACTTGAGGAATTGTTCAGAGGAACTCCTCGAAGTTAGGAAATGAACTGATCAACATTTTTCGGAACGCTTCTATTGGCACGACTGTAACAGCCATTGTATTTGGACTGGAATGGAGCGTGTTTTCCTCCAAAATAACAGCCATGTTTTTGTCTTGTAAATGTCAAGGGATTGATTGCAAACCATGAATGAACTAAGATCATTTGTAATTATGTGTTGTTTTTGGCTGAAAAATTATTAACAGTTGGATTATTTATAGTGTAATAAGATGTGGTTAAAATATTATTACATTTTAGGATATTACTTCATTTTAACATGGCAATTTTAAATATTTTGAAATTACCGTAATCGCTTGTATTGAGCCCTCTTTAAAAAAACCTCCCACTCTTTTAAGCCTTCCTGTTTCGATAATTACCCCCTCCCTTAAAGGTTCCTGGGAAAGTAGGCCCCAGGGTTGGGGGGTTATAACAGAGATTACGGTAATTTTCTTGTTATATAGATGTTGAGTTTTCCGATAGGATGAACTTATGAGAAAACTCGCTTTGCAATGCATATAAGCAAATTAGAAAGGCGAAACAATTTTCTCACACGTGGGAAAATGTTTCGTCTAATCAAATCATACAAGGATGACGTATGAGTAAATTTGTTTACGGCGGGAACTTTCGCGCCTTTTGTTATGACTTTGTTTATTTTGCCTGAAGGTGAACAAAAATTATATTTTGTCACATGAAATAAAAAACACGGATTGGTTTGGCAAAAAAATAATATAAGGGACCGGTCATTAATCAGTAATAGGAAGAGG